GTATGAACTACTGCAATCAAATGATGCAGATTACTGATGCACTGATCATATGAGCCAAAAGTTAAAAATGCATATGAACTATCTAAACACAAATTTGTATTGAGCCTAATGATTTCAAAGGCAAATTTACACAGCAACCAAAAGTGATATGAGAATCAGAAGATGACACTTCAAGAAATGTCAGGGGCATCAGTTGATGGAGAAGAATGCAACTCAAGCGTTCTCATCCTTCTTTCCGACATGTCTTGCATTATATTTACTTTCCTTAAGTTATTCTTTTCTGTAGTCAGTTTATAACCTCAAATTTTCTGATTCTTCAGACATCGAAGCATATAATCTTTCTGCAAGAAGCTTCAGGCGTACTCAAGGCACACTGGCAGTAGGGCTGCCTCCAACAATTTAAAACAGTCCCCAAGGTCGGGGAATAATAAGAGAGAAGTTGAAAGGCAAAGCAAGTGAATGCAGTGTAATGAAATAAAGAACTAGCTCATTTTCCCGTTTATGTAAATCATGTCCTATTGTTGGCAACTGATAGAATATGACCACCATGACAGTACCATGGTTATTTCTCCATATCAATGGAACATCAATGATTCTGTACCAGGCCAGTTTGATTTGTACAAGAGGTTTACAGAAGTGAACAACTGCATTCCTAAAAAAATATTATATGTACAGGAATCCTACACCACACTCCTTTTTTTTGGAAGCACAATCTAAATCCTACTTTCTGACTCGTTGACCAGACCCCTGAAGTTGATGTCTAGTAATCATAATTCTTCTAAAGCATTAGATAAAAGTACTTATCTCAAAACAAAAAAAAAACATTAGACAAAAAGTATTATTTTTTTACATAAAAGAAAAAAGTTCAAAAACCAAAAACATAGCCCATTAGTTATTTTGAAAACTAACTATGTCTCAAAATTAATGATGTCTAAAATTAGAATTATCAACTTTATGTCTAGATAAATGGAGAATTTGTAACTTTATTCATGCTTCCTTTTTTTCTAATAAATTATAAATAACTTTTGTTCAATTATTGCTTACGCATGAACAACTTTATTCACAAGAAGCTCTCTGATTGATTATTCCCATACCTTATCTCATTTAATAAGCCAGCATCTTATTTAATAAGTTTAGGAATGGATTTATATAAGACAAATGTGATCCAGGTCTACATTCAGCATACAATGGACTAGGTGGGAAAAATACCATGCATACGCTCCCCAAACTCACACCATGAGCCAGATGCATTAGACTCCACAAAAGATAACAGCAGAATTGAGTGCTATCATCAAATGTGGAAAGTAATGCAGTTTTGATCACACCAGAAACAAAGGGCAATTTCCTTTAAATTGTTCATCCATCATAGGCAGGTCAAACACAACTAGAAATTGGACTTTACTAGGATAGAAGGCAAAATATGTAGTTCAGAATCTCAAAAAGGCATTTACCTGAATATATGCTGGGAACAACTTTCATCATCACCGGTTAAAATCAATTGCATGAGGTCATAAACATGCCTCCTTTGCACCTGATAAGAGGAAATCAAACCAATTGATGTAATAATAACTGATTGCTTGTAATTTTTCTTATTTGGTAGACAAAGTTTTGATCATCCACTTAAAAAGATTGTGTTCAAGTGGTAAAAATTAACGAGGAAGAGAAAACAGAAGAAGACAGATTTTGTCATATTATTCCAATGAATTTTTACAAATATATATGCTCATAATTTTATACATAGAAAGAGCTATATATGAATACATAATTATAACAGAATTAAAAAGAAACATCAACAACTTAATGCGAGAGAACACTGATAACAAAAATGGAAAGTACTAATTTTGGAGTTATAACCAAATATCTAGAATTGTGATAGTCAACACTCTCCCTCAAGAGGATGCAAAGATTCCCTGCAAGCCCATCTTGCAAATCAATCCATGAGCTTGTTCACTGCTGAGGTCTTTGGTGAAGGAGTTTGCTAGCTGTTATCGAGAAGTCAAATGGTATATGTTTAGAGTACCGAAACTTATTCTCTAACTAAGAAATGTCTACCAATTTTGTGCTTGGTACTCTCATGTTGAACATGATTACGTGCAATACCAATTGCCGTCTTGTTGTCATACTACAATGTTATACCATGATTATGTGTAATAACAATAGCTGGTACTCCAGCTATATCTCCTCACTCACCTCAAAATCCATAAAATCAGCCAGAATCACCTCAAAATCCAGAATACCAATCCTTAAAGCCCAGGACACGACTTAGCATCAGTTACCTTATACGACCCAAGGTTTCTCAGGTATACTCAAGGAAGAAGAAACCAGATCGTCCAAGCAACAGACTCATATTCTAGAATTAAGGTAACAGATACTAATGCCGGAAATGAGGTAACTTTTGATAATTTCTTGACATATGATATTGGTTTACTTTTTGCCATTTAGAAAGGAATTAGGGAATGCACTAAACATCCATTATATCTACTTTTATATTTTATCATTTAAAAGATGTTTATCTTCTCACAAGAATTGTATCACAAGTCTAAATACTGTATTTATTCTTATTATATTATTTGAGTATTATTCCGTGAAGAATAAAAAATAAATAAAACTTTATGATTGTCGAAATGTCTCAATTGGACAAGAACAGAACCTGGAAGATGGTGGATCAACAAAAAAAACCATTTGAATGTAAGTGGATATTCACTATAAATTACAAAATAGAAGGTACTATAAACATGTATAAAGTCAGACTAGTGGCAAGGGGTACACACAGACCTATGGTACATACTATCAAAAGATATTTGTATCTGTTGCCAGGATGAACATAGTCAGAGTACTTCTGTCTTTGTCTGCTAAAAATGACTGACAGCTTCAATAATTTGGTGTAAAGAATGCGTTCTTCTATGGAGATCTTGATGGAGAAATATACATGAAGATTCCACTGGGGTTCATTGAATGCATAAGAACCAATATAGTATGCAAAGTTAAAAACATTGTATGCATTGAAGCAATCACCTTAAGACTAGTTTGGAAGATTTACAAAAATGATACTAGCCATGGATAAATAAAGTCAGAGAGACCATACACTTTTCATCAAGTATCATATTCACGAAATTTTTTTTGTGAACCAAACTCTTTATGGCATAAGGTGATAAACGGAATCCATGAAGTGACAAGAATATTTGGGATGTCTTTGCATGAAGATCCACTACTCACCTGACGTCCTTGGAAAACCATTTCCCAAATTCACCCTTTATCCACTACACCCACCCTACTACTCGTGGGAAATGGTACTAGAACACTTTCTTGGGAAGATATTTGGTTGGGGGACCAACCACTTGCCACAAAATTCCCGAGGATATACCAGTTGTCTACCAAGACACTATCCATGTCTCTAGCTTCACTGTTAACACTAGGGGTAACCTATCTTGGAACTGTCACTTTAATTGTAACTTGTCTGATAGGGAGATTTCTGATTTGACAACATTGTTGAACATGCTAGAACCCATATATATGACTTCTCAACCAGATAGCCAATTGACCCTTGAACTTGCTGGCATGTTCACATGTAAATGTTTCCACTCCTACTCATAAAAAATCCCAGATCCACATAATTTCATATTGCCAAAGATTTTTGGAAAGCTAGAGTTCTTTTGAAGGTGGAGTATTTTCATGGATTCCTATTAACTAGAGTCTCAACTCCAATGACTTGCTCCAAATCCATTACCCCCACCATGCCTTGTTCCTTGATGTATCTGCTATGTGTTTTGTAGATGGTGAGACTCACTTCCACTGATTCTTACGCTGCTCGATGGCTTGGAAAATGTGGACTAATATTATGAATAAGTTTGGCCTCAATTGGGTGGTGTGCCCTACTATCTATAGCTCTGTGATATGCTGAATACAAGGGGTTAGGGTGAAAAAAGAGGCTTAAGTGCTTTCGTAAGGTGTTATTTTTACTGGACTCTGGTCTATATGGCTTGTAAGAAATAATTAGATCTCCCATGATCAATTGACATCATCCTATGACCTTAGTAAGAGGGTCATTTTCATGGCCTCCATTTGAGCAAAAATCACATGGTTACTTTCTGGACAGCAGCATTTTGGAGCTCAATCGCAATTGGGAAGTTACCATTAATAGAGAATAGGGTTGTGCTAGTGTCCACGTGTTAACTTTATTTAAGTTCGATTCTTGGAGGATGTCTTATTCTTCACTTTTTGTAATTATTTCTTTCTACTCTCATTTAGTGAAACTTCTTCTTTTATAAAAAAACAAAAAAAAAAAAAAATCAAGTGCAGAATCATAATTTCCAGTACGGATAGAACGGGTCTTTGAACTGTTATACTTAAAGATTATCTCGGAAGATTTAAGATAAAGTGGGATTACCCTATGAGACTTTATTATAACAATAAATCTGGTATGAATATTGCATACAATCCAATAAAACATGATGACACCAAACACATTGAAATTAACAGACATTTTAGAAGAAAAAGATTTGTATACGTGACTTGATCTGTACACCCTATGTGCCCATGATTCTCTACTTACAAAAACCTGAATAATCCAGGGCTTCAGACTATTGTATCCAAGGATACAAGTTGAGAATGAATAATATTTATTTACCAGTTTCAGATGAGTGTTGGAAAATATATATATATATATACATATATACACATGTAATTATTTTATAAAAAAGTATATTAGTAAATATGCCTATGTAATTAAGTGTTTGGAAAGGATTAGGTTCTTCTTTTTTCTTTTTCTCCTGAAGTTGTATATATAAGGATAAGTTATTCAATAAAAAACATAACATTCTCTTCTCATGGTTTCAACATATACTCCAGGTAAGAAAAGGCCATCCTCAAACACATACCTCCAATACTTCATCAAACTCAACAAGGCTTTTTCTAATGCCAAAGAAGTACTTCTCTGCGTTGATTTGAAGGGCCAAAAGCTGAACGATCAGTGATGATTGAATTTAGTAACAGGAAGAAGAATCTAAGATAAGTAGACAAAAAAAAAATTACAAGAACTCACAGGCACGTGGAAATACCTGTTTCACAATTGCATTGCCTTCAATTGGTATATCCTCATCATTTGTAATTTTTGTTATCAGCTTCACAGCCCACTCAGTATCGAAATTAAATTTTTGAAACATTTCATCTTGTAAGCTGTAAGATAGATCGAAGTGAAGTGAGTCAGGTACCTCCCATTAAATAACTAATAATTTAGTGATATTAGCCAAATTTCAAACCCTCCTTAACGAAAGATCACCCCAGAAACGAAAGAAAATATCTGGTGCATCTGTAGGAGGAAATTGTCTAATAAACCTATAAATTAGTGTTTATCACATAGAATAAATTATATAATGTTCCAGATTTGTTTTCAAAAATAAATTCCAGAATGGTCCAGATTTTATTCTGTAAGTATCCTCTATTTTTTTGTAAATCCTAACTTCTACAAGCATTATCATGTTTCTAAATTTAATATTTTTTCATTATGAAACCTTATGCATTCAAATAAATACATGTACAATACAGCAACAAAAGAAAGATATAATCTCCCTCTGTTTCGACTATTCTTCCGTTATACACCAAATATTCTCTCCTCTTGTTCTATTTTTCTTTCAAATTGGTATAAGAGCTATGACCATAATTGTTTATCACTCCCAAACTTGATTATTCTGCACTCTCTAAGGTTTTGCATTCCTAGAGCCAACTTCCAAAAAGCTTCAGTTCCTTCCTTTTCTCTACATGCAATATATTGGCAGCTAGAACAGCTGGCAGAAAGTAGAGGAACCAGAGGAAAAGGCATTTGGACAGAGGCATAAAGGAAAAAGTGCAAACGGATAAAACAGCTGGGAAAAGTTTGTGCATTGTCTATGCCTGCATGATCCCCTACCTTTCCAAGCAGAGACAGAATTCTATTCTGGCTCTGCTTCTGAGGACGCATTCATATGGCAGACACTATTCTGGCTCTGCATTTGAGATGATTTCCACCAGCAGCTTTTATTCTTCCCAGCCTCATCCTCATCCAGTTTTTGTTGATGAATCAAGACTATTTGAAGGATATAATTCATTCTCTAATAAAATATTGACTAGATTTAAACATTAAAACTAAAATTTAAATCAAACTCTAGAATATCACTTGTACTCAAAGGGTGACACCTATGTAGATAAATAGTTTTCCTATGTAACTCCTCCATTTTGGAAGCTTATCCAACACAAACTGCACCACAGACTGACAATGGAGCATCCAATCATGAGACTACAGATCTTGCTAGCCTCAGCAACACTTTTGGGCACAAGGGACATGATCAACTCTATGAATTTCAGGATTAACTGTTGTTCCACTATGGCACTACCTGGATTAGGGCATGCAATTGGAGAGCTTGCTGAAATACAATCAATAGAAGAGTTTTTTGGGAATTTCGTCCTCGCCAATTTATCATTCCATCAGGTTAACCGGAGGTTCTACATCCATGGTCCAACTGAAGAGGGCATTGATGACTCCCCTTGTACTCTCTTTAGTGAAAAACACTTTATGGCACAATGACATGCTAGACTTGGTAAATTAAGGAATCTCCTTCACCAGATATTTGTTCCTCATATTCTCTAGGTAAACTAAGTTGTAGTCATCCCTTCTCTGTCACCACAAACGATTCCTCCAAAGCTGTTGAGTTGGTAGATTTTAATGCATGGACCAGACCTTATCAGTTTTACATGAGAATGATTTTAGTACATTTTCCTGGATTTTTCTATGTAAATTAAAAAGTGATATTTCCTCAACAATTCCTCAATTTATTTCCATGCTTGTGAAAAAATTTAACTATAGGGTGTTAAAAATTTACACACATGAGGAAGGAAGAAGTCCGGGCAAATAAAACCGCTAGAACAATTACCAACGGAGGTTAGTTGGTCACAGGTTCAGTTTACCTCTTGTAGATTAGTAACCATCAAGGGCTTAAATATCTCTCCTAATCTTTCTAGGTTTAAATGGATTTGTCCAAGTTGTGCCAAAAATTGTCAAAGAAGATTGATGTAAAAGCAGTACCAATCATTGAAATGAATTAAGCTAAATTAATCTTTTCATAAAGGCTAGTTTGGTATAACAACTTCATTTTAGGCTAAAAGGGTAAGAACCCATTAAATTAGACAACTACCTCACCATGAATCGTGTTGATCCAGGATCCCCTTGCCTTCCTGCTCTGCCACGTAGCTACAAAAATATAATTGTTATCTTTGGATTCAAACTCTATTGGAAAATTCAGCACAAAAACAAAAACCCATAAATATCTATGATTAATTTGCAAGAAATATAAGGTTCAATTCATATAGTCTAAATTCATTTGCGTGTATATGATTCTAACAAGAAGTCCTCCATGGATGTAAGCATAAGCGTTCACCAGTAACATAAAATGGTTACAGAAGATTATCTCCGTAAATGGTAGAACTATGGTTTTTTGAGAGAATAAAATCTGGATTACCACACCCATGCAACCCAGAGAAGAACAATTATAAACTCAAGCTTCTATCAACTGATTTGGATTTCACATTCTAGGATGTCAGTCATCCTTGAAGAAAATACTACTAAAACTATACATAAACAAATACTTTCATGAAAAATAAATAACAAAAATAATGACAAAAGAATCAAAAAGTTAATTGTTGAAAAAATATGAGGTAGATGGCAAACATTTAGGAACCATTTGATTGGAAATTTCAAAGCATCTTTACTCGCTTCCGAAAACAAATCTAACCCAGTTACCTGTCTAAACTATATTTTAGATTAGATTCAATCAAGGTGTGAATAAGCATCACAGTATCAGGTTTGTCTATCTATTATGAGCAGTAGTCAGTCAGATCAAGTAACAAAAATAGTGCAATTTAATTGGTGTATCAGTGGAAGAAGAGGAGGAGATAAGTCGCAGCTAAAAAGTTTATTAGGTTTTTTATGTTTATGGTCTGTTGTTATGGACCTGATTTACGGGTCTCGTTACGAGACGATAATCTAAAATCAGTAGGATTGTTTTTGTATGGGCTCATTAAGGGAGAACCAACAATTTCCTAAGTTAAACTCAAGAAACTCTTGATAAATTTTCTGCTAAAAACTGAACCTTAACAAAGAGCAGCAGGTTTTTAATCTGCATTAGGGAGTAGTTATCAGGAAGTTAATTCTAGAACTGCCTATTCCATCCACTTCCCCAATTTTTCTCCTACTAGCTTCTCATACTACAAACTGAAAATACAAACCAACCACCAAAATACAAATAAAATTTAATCTTACAGCCATACCTGTCTATTAATTATGTAATTAATTTTTTTTGAATAAAATTACATAATTAATTTATAACTAAATATATATTTATATACACTATTAAGATATTTATAATTAATTATCCTTAAAATTAAAATACTTATTATCTCATAACATCTGTTTTGTTCAGTTTCTAAGTGTTCTGACATAAAAGTACTATGTTTGTTGTTTTACATACACCTGTTAAGTAGCAGTTTATTTGGTTCGGACAATTTTGTAACTGATTGCAGGATGAGCCAGTTCCTAGTCTTGGAGAGCAGTTATTTTTCTTTTTATTACAAATAAAACATGTCCTATAGTAATAAAAACCATCAGAGAAATATTATTGAAGTTTCCTGGGAAATCAACTCTCGGAGATCTTTGGGTTCTCTCCAAGAAGACCAAGCTTAGTTAACAAAAATAGGCCAATAGGGAACAAAACACCAGATGAATTCTGGCAAGCCCCCATTAGATTTCAGTCCACAAGGCCCTATAACCAAATTCTAGGTGATTAAGACACACCATTTTTCAATAGATTTTCCTTAACAACAAGGCAGAAGTCATGCTTTTGCCCCCAGAGTCATGTCTTTTCCAAATGCGAATCATGGAAGGTTCAGAGAAGGAGAGAAACACAGCAAAGAAACAAGAAAGATATTTACAAAATGCTAACAAACTAATGCTTGTATAAAAAGAAATATATATATATATATATATATATTCCAACCAGACTGCTGCTCTTGGGTACAGATAATAACTCACCTGGTTATCTATTCTTCGTGACTCATGCAAAGATGTCCCAATCACATGAAGACCCCCAAGACTTTTCACTTCGGATCCCTCACGCAAACAGTGTACTTCACAATCCTTTAGAACTGACAAATAAGCAAGCGCTATAGTGGGGCCGAGAGGATACATTTCAGACTGCTCATCGATAAGCATTTGCAATCCTTTCAAATCCATTGACTGGCTCATTTCTACAGACTCTGAAATCAAGGACTTTGCCTCCTTATATGTCCAACTCTTACCCTCACTTTTGCCAACATATTTTGCTGTATAGTTCAAATTTTAAATGAGAAGTGCAACATTAAATTAAACAGGTAATCATCTCTAACAAAAAGTGAGCGTGTGCACACTGCTTGCAGGAACAGCATCGAAGTAAATTGATTGGTCTCAAGAAACGGTAACAAACCCATTAAGGCAGTCTTAGCTAGCAAAGCTAATGAGGACGATCCAACCTTTATCTTTGAAAATACCTACACGAGAAAGTTTGATTCACGTCTGCTGTACATATTTAACAGCAAATAATAGCCATAGGCCGACAGATAAATACCCTTTCTGAAATTTCTTTGTCATCAACTTCATTGTTACGAACTTCTCTTGTCAGAAACGAAATCAGGCTATCTTCAATAATTTCTTTTGCTAGCATCTTCATGTATTTTAAACCAGGGAGGGAATAAGAATTTCTCTTCACATGACCACTTCAGAAAGAAAATAAAAAGAAAGACAAAGAAGCCATGGAGAAGGACTTGTAAATAAATAATGTCAGAAATAACATTGTTAAGCATCTGGGTATTGTGAAGTTAGCCAAAAATCATTTTAGCACATATTTTCCAGCAACATAGAGGAGTTCCATAAGGAACACATACTTTTGGATTTCCACCCAGAATTATATCCGTGCCTCTGCCAGCCATGTTCGTAGAAATGGTGATAGCATATTTTCGCCCTGCTTGGGCAACAACTTCAGCTTCTCTTGCAGCATACTGATGGAAGTAAAGGCACAATATCAAAACAAACTGAATACAGATAAAATATAATTACTATTAAACAAGCAATCTAGTGTGTTTTGCAAGTTGTGCATCCAATTGTGAGGCCCCAGCGAGTAGATTTTAAAGGAACCTTCGGCCTTGCATTCAAGACATTGTGAGGAATATTCCACTCCTTCAGCAGATTTGATAGATATTCAGAATTCTCAACACTGCATCATGAAGATAGAGACTGTAAGTATAATGTGAATGTCTTTAGAAACTAAAGATCTTAATTTGATACAGAACAATAATATCTTAATGTCTAGTAAAGAAATCTTTTGTAATTATTATCATTATTTTGTTTCAGTTATATAGGTCTTTTAGGCGTTAAAATTAATTTCCTTTAGGCAGATTTTAAATATTCTAGGAATTAAAATCTTTTACATTTCCTCTTTTATATTTGTCTTTATTAGTTAAGGTATTATAATATTTTAGTTCGTGTTTAGGTTGATAATCTTTTGAATATTATATAATCTTTTAAGATAACCAACATTGACAAAATAGCCAAATCCAAATAGTTGTCCTGCAACAATTCTTGTTAAGCACAAATCAACAAGAGAATATTTAGATTTGTTACAAAAACATTCATCCTTGTTTTATATATTCAATTTTATTATCGACTAAGCACATTCAATGATTCTTTAAGGAGCAATGGTATAAGGCCAGCTGTCGAATAGCTAATTTATCAACCAGTAGATTATGATGGATGTCTCCATAAGAACACTGAGTCTAATTTAACTTTTTGGAGCGAAAAAGATAAAGAATTAACATTAAAAGGCACCAAAGAAATGTTGTCCATAACAAAAGAAAACCATTTTAAAGGGAGAATAGATGAAAGATGAACAATACCTAACAAAAGAAAACCTACTCAAAGGGAAGACAGATTAAAGATGAATACTACCGTACCCACCCATAAACAAGACAAAAGAGCACTCTAAGAGAGAATAGATCAACGATCTAAAATGTCCACCTCGTCAAGATCGGGATTTTACACTTAAACAAAAGATATTGCTAGTGATACAAATATCCAAAGAATTATTAAGGTGGTTTTCTTTATGGAAAGATGGATTTTGCTTTCCTTTTTGGCGGTTTGGGGTTACTATAATGTTCATAGGAGTGCTGCCAAAAAGCTGGACAGAAACAGGCTTAGTACTAGTATGAGAGGATTCAATAGTTTTATTGAAGAATATCAGTTAAAAGACATTCCTTTTTCTAATACCCAATTAACTTGGTCAATTTCTTTAGGGTAGGGTCATGTCATCTCGCGTAAATCATTTGCCGGTCACCAATACTTGCAATGAAGTGTAGATTAGGATTACATTAGGATAAAGGGTATGTAAGTAATATATTCCGATCTCTATGATTTTTGTAATTAATATTTTCCTGATATTGTCACTATTCACTTGTATCTATAGAGTACGAATATTCAGAGAAATATTTACATTCATTCTTTCACATGGTACCAAAACTCTAAGAAAAAAACTCTAGACCTCTTTCACAAACCATACCCGGCCTTCATTGCTGAAATAAAGAAAAACTTTAGGAGGTCAACCTTCATTGCTACTTATGTATTAGATAAAATATTAAGTAATCTTGTATTTTAGACAATTATTGTCAATTTGAGAATGGATAATATTTATTTACCAACTTGAGGGGGGGAGTGTTAAGAGGTATAAATTAGGGTTACATTAGGGTAAACAATACATTAGTAGTATACCTTGATCTTTGTAATTAATATTGTTTCCTTATGTAGTTTCTATTGACTTGTATATATAGGATCCTAATATTCAATGAAATACATACATTTCATTCTTCTACAATAATTTTCTTCATATGCTGCAAAAAGTGTTCTTTGGGTCGATTTCATATCCTTCCCTCATTCTTTTTTAGTCAAGTCACCTTAAATGGGGACCCCTACCCATTTTGTTTTGAGAAAACATGGATTCAATATTCCCATTTCTTAATCAGGTTGAAGAGTGGTGGGGCAACATTTCTAAGAGAAAGAAGGATTAAAATTATGAGGCAACTCAAATAAGTAAAGGATCATATGAAAGTACTAAATATGGAAGTGTTTTGGGGCACAGGGATAAAAAAACAAGAGCTCCATAATCAATTGAGTGCCATGTAAAAATTGGATACTGAAAATGGATTATTAGACGCTCAACAAGCTAGATTATGCTCTTTGTTCATCAAGCTTAAGGAAATTTGGCGAAAGATGAGATAAATTGCACAAGAAAGTTCATAGTTAAATGAGATAAACACAGGATGCTTGTACTAGCATTCTTGATATAGTTGTTAATAGAAAAAAGTTTAAATATTTAAGAAATTGAAGCTTGAAAATAGTAGGGTTGCGAGAGACTCTTGTACTATTGAGGCTAAGATTATTTGATTCTATAAGATACTCTATCAGGAAGGAGGATTCCTTTTTCTTTGATAGAAGAAAAAACTTAACTGAGAGAAGAGGAAAAATATACAAAAATGGAGGACAAGATATCCTTCCATGCGTGTTAAACTATAGTAACCAAACTAACATCATAGAGAAATATAAAGCATAAAAATGTGGATTTTTAAAGGTTAAAAATAATATTCTCCCAATTTCAATGGAGGTAAAAAATAACGGTACCAAAGAAGGTCCCATGTGCCTTGATCCATAATGTTGCCAAAAAGGTCATTCCTCTATTTCATAGGATGAGGTAGATTGGTCTTCATAGACTTTTCAGCTCCTTACAATCTAAAAAGTTCATAGATATGATTGTCCCATGCTACATGGTTTTGCTTCCTTTCTCACTTTATCCCCCTTGATATACACACTAAGAAGCTCCCAACTGTAGGAGCAACCCATATAATGCTAAAAAGACCAAACATTTTTGTCCAAATCTCCCAAGCTATCTCATAATGGAGAAATTAATGGCTATTTCAAAAAATAATGGCAAAATTAATGGGAATAATGTGTTTCTATTTCCCATGCTATATGATTTTGGTTACCTAGAGGTCTCGAGCCTCTGGCAATGGCTATCCATGTAAACACCTTGGCAATATGAAGTTGGCTAAAGGTGTGATGTTTAACGAGGTAACCAAAGAAAGACTTGTGTGTTTAATGACCAACTTTCAGTGTTAGGTTGAGAAAAAAGGTGAATCGGTTCCAACAGGGTCAATAGATTTTGCATTTCAAGGGTCTCTCTATCCGATACGTCAGGGATAAAATGGAAATTCCAAGTGAGGTCCCCTCATTGTTGAAATGGAAGTGCTTGGAAGATGGCTTTACACTATGATGGGATAAGGATCTTCCTACTAGGGCATTCCATGCTACTTCCATGGACACTGTTGAGTCTGTGCCACAAAGAATTTGGTTCCGTAAAAAGTTTCATAGCCATTTAGTCAATGAAAATAAGTTCTTAGATCTAAGATTCCCAATTTCCAGTTCCTCAAACTCTTAGACTGACAATACACCTCCTAGCTAACCAAATGGTTCCGATCTCCCTTCCCTGCTCCACACAGAGATCTCCTCATGTGCCCCTCTAGTCTCTCTGTAGTCCCCGCAATTAATCTAACAAAACAAAAAATAAAGGGCTACATGGATAGACTTGATTGGATCAATGTAAACCCTACCTCTTAGAGAAAAGAGTCTCCCCAACTCTCTAACCTCCTAACCGATTTATTCTCATCACCTCTCAAAAGGACTTGCTCCTCGGAACGCCTCCCAAAGGACTCGCAAATATATCAAGGGTCGCACGATTCTAGTGCATCCTATCGACTTTGCTATTCTCAAAACAGTTTCATCATCCACATTAATTTATGTGAGACTGCTTTTTCCAAGTTAATCTTCAATCTTGAGCTCTAATAGAAGGGGGATATTACCTGACCTTTCTTTGAGGATCTAGATTGGTGTCCTACAAATAAAGTTAACGACATATAGTGAAAAAGGCTTTCTCAAGAGAATGAATGAGATTAAAAAAGCAATCAGGGAACTTGGGAGGATAAAGTCCCAAGCCACAGGGTTTTTTAATTGCGTTTTCCCAAAGTTGCTGGGAGTTTGTCAAAGGAGACTTGTCAGAAGTTTTCTTGGAGTTTTTCTTGAATGGAAAGATCGGAACCAACATGAATTCCACCTTTATTACTTTGATAAGAAAAAGGATCATTATATTAAGATCATGGATTTTTGACCTATCAGCCTTTTGACGTTGTGTTTATAAGCTCATTACCAAGGTTTATTTGTAATATTGAGAGAGGTTTTAGGAATACTATTTTTTCTTCAACTAAAGTGCCTTTTTTGCTAGTAGGCAAATCTTTTATTCTTCGTCGATATTTAATGAAGTTGTAGGAGATATCAAAAACATATATATTTATTTTATTCTTACAATTGTGACTTACATCCTTTTCCATACATACACGATTTTCATAATAAAAATCTATTTATAGATGGACACAGATATAACCTATGTTATAAATTAGGGATCTGGTCTAGGATTACACTTAAATAAGAATATTCACCGAGTAATATTAAGGAGCAATACCACCAGCAGTCAACACTCCTAAAGCACTGAATTTAAAATCATTTCTTTTCACACTGCAGAATTGCTTTCAAGCTTCAAAAAACTCTTTGATAGTTTTGGTGTTTGTTGAGTTTGTCTCCTATCCCATGGATTTTTATATCTACAAAGATGCATCAATTCGGGAGGAATAACAGATGAATATGTTATCTCTCATGCTTGAAGATAAATACCAGAATTTTCAACAATCATTTTCAACCTCCCCAGCTTCTTTGAGATGGACTGATGCTATCTACTTCACTTCGGTTAAGACTCCTGTTTTTCTGGAGATTTTCTTTATCTGCTTTGGAAAAAGGATTGGGTTTGTCTTGTATATCGAAGGATACCCTTTGTTTTTTTCTTCCTTTCTGCTTTTCCAGGAGGACATCTTATCCCATTACTTTCTTCTTTAATAACATTTTTTTCTCTAGGAACTATTGTAATGGAAGTTTATGCCTTTACTTCACTTGGTTAAGCTCCTTCACTTTTTTAGAGATTTTCTTTATCCAGTTTGGAAAAGGATCAGGCTCCCCCTTATAGTGATCGATATTCTTTTTCTTTTGGATTCTAGTTTACTCTTGTACCAGCATATCTTATCCGTATACTTTGTACTAATTTTCTCTCTTCCCTGACAATATTTCTTCTTTTATTTTTTTTAACAGAGGACTTCTCTTGGAATAGTTATGATGGAAGTTTATGCAAGTGCCTATGCTTGCATGTGTGGGTGCCTATTAAGGAGATACTAAGAGATCTGTTAACGATAGTGCACTTCGGGAGGAAATACTTCAAATGACCTTTCACATAATATATCCAAAATGGTCGAATTAATTTTTGGTTGAACAGATGTAATATTGGGAAGAAACAAAATTATTAACAAGATAATTACGGAAAATTTTGGACAAAAGACAACAAAGAGGGCTTAAAATGATATGCAGGTTCGAAAGATTACCTTGTGGTTCCAACTAAAACAGGACGACCATGTCGAAACATGTATTCAACTTCTTGACGAACATATTCCCATTTTCCTCGAGCAGTCTAAGAAAAAAACCAATGCCGAAGCATAAGAAAGAATTAATATGTATTATATATATTGTATATATATAACTTAATGAACAAACTAGATATATCAAACTGATAAATTATACATATTGAGCCCCTTACAGCAAAAGCTTGTATGGGTAAATCTACACGAACATTTGGCAGATTTGTAGGAACTTCAATGACTGGCATCTGGAACATCTTCAAAAACTCTTTCTCCTGAAATATTATGCAGGAAAATTCTACATCAGAATGTTAACAACTTGGAAAACGTAAATTACAAGGAATACTAAAAAGCTTCAAATTCATCCCCTTACTTCAGTTTTTGCGGTCCCTGTCATCCCTGATAGCTTAGGGTAGAGCTTAAACAGTGACTGGTAAGTGATTTGAGCCACCACCACTGAGTCAGCCTAAAAATTTCGGAAAAAAAAATTACTTTAAATCAATAAGTATGCTTGCCAAATTTTAGTCCTTAACTCCAGTGATATACCTGGATCTTCAAACCTTCTTTAGCCTCAACTGCCTGGTGGATCCCTTCAGACCATCTCCTTTTCTCTTCAACTCTTCCAGTTAACTGAAGAAATTTTGTCAATGCTTCATTTATAAACATTTGATCAATGAAAATAATAGCTTTTTTGCATAAAAAGTCATAACAGAAGAGGACCAGGTAGCCTCCCCAAAAAAATTAAAGAAGGAAAGAAGGAACGTCTGCACAACAAAATGATTCAATATAGAATAGCCCATCCATCTTTATTCTCTTTCTTCCTCCCAACTCCATGAAAAAGTACGTAATAAAACCCTCAAGGTTTCCAAACGTATAAGATCAAAGTCTCAAGCAAAATTCCACGAACTTCGAGCAAATTATTAGTATTATATTTGCTGAGAATTTCATTTCAAACAAAAAACTTAACCTTAGATGGCACAACTACCTTCCAAAAAAAATTACTAAAGGGATTATTTGAACAGAAAGGTTATGGATTGAAATGCAAAGAAAGATTTCGAAAAAAAAAACTGCTCAAGGAGTCCAAAGGACAAACTCTATGATGAAGACAACAGGAAAGGTGGGGACTGATGGAGATTCAATATGAGATACAAGTACGAAAAGGCCAGGACCAATGGAGGCAGCCGCATGGCCTATACTTTCCTAGCGGGTGGCATCCTATTCAGGCGAATTAACGGTGCAGCTTTAGATTCTAAGTAGTTGGAAGTTCTAATGTTGATGGTAGGGGTGGTGTTAGTCACTGCCAGCTGTGATGATGAGCTGAACTGTTGACTGGTTTATCAGTGTTAGGGCTTTCTTTTCTTTTTTCCGTTAATAAGTTTGGTATTGTTGAGATGTGAGAGTTTGAGATTTTGAGTAAAAAGACCTTTTTCGCTTATATACCAACTGACATAGAACAAACTTAGGTAATTTACCTGGTAGGAATTTGGGAATAAAAATGCATATATTGTACCTAACGTTTCTAGATATCGCGTCTAAAAGTCTCAAACATCATATTTAGGGGCCCGATTTTGCATCATATAACTAGAAAATTAAGAGAAATCTAAAAATATTTTATTAGATGACTGAATTTTCTCAAAAGTGACAATTCTTTTGTTTGATAAAAGAAGAAGATTTATTAAGATAAGAGAAGCAAAATATAATGAAGGCTAAACATTCTCCTAGTCGTTACAATCTACAGTGAGCAAAAATATCAATTTTTTAAATAAAAAAGTGTGAATTGTATAAATTACATGCACCAAGAAGGTGCAAAATCCATGTCCAAAAGAATTTATGTATCAGTTAGTATGTCAATAAGTTCTAAATTTTTCATTGAGTACAACTGTTGCCTCATAATCAAAAATATCAAGTGTCTAGAACCATCTCTCTCTAATTTGATCTAGGCTCCTCAAAGACTCTTCTGTTCTTTTCTTTCCACAGTATCCAAATAATTGCTAGTGGAATCAGCTCCAACTGCTTCTTTCTCCTTATAATATCCTTCCACGCCTGCTTCTTTCTCAACAATAGATCTTACTCCTAAACCACCTTGATGTAATAGTCTCTTGATCTTGTCTCAAGCCACCAAATAATATTTTTTATTCTCCATTAAGTCGTGTCATAAAAATCTGCATTACATTGCTTCCCATTTCTTGGGAATACACATTGTTATAGAGAGAAGAGACATATAATGCATAGAAAGATTCTAAACTGCTTCTAATTAGTTTTAACCGTCCACCATTAGATAGTAAATTTCTCTTCCACCATACAAGTCTTCTTTCAAATCTGTCAACAATAAAATCCCAAGTCCTCACATTTTTATTATTAGCTCCGAACAGCATGCCCAAGTACTTGATCAGCAGGTCCATAACTTTACAACCTAAGGTCTTCACCAGTCTTCCAATCTTAAAAATTAGGAAGTAACCAAATATGAAGCTTTTCTATCTACACTGGAGTCAGTTGCTTTCAGCAAGGAACATGATCAACCCATTTGGAAGCTCAACAATTCTGGATAATTCACTGTTAGATCTTTTTACAGGCATTTGACTAAGAAGGAGCCCACATAGATTAGTTTCCCTAATAGACAGGTTTGGAAGATCAAAGCCTCTCCAAGGGTTGCTTTTTTTTACTTGGGAAGCAAGCAGGGATTGTACTTTGACTATAGACAAGTTAAAGAGGACGTGTAAAATTTTGGTGAACTGGTGTTGTTTGTGTAAGATGGCAGAGGAGACACGTAGTCATTTGCTGCTATGGTGTCCGGTTGCATATAGACAATGGCCAATGGTATATGGGCTATTAGGTGTTAATTGAGTAATGACTAGTACAGAGAATGAAGAACCATGGGCATGGAGGGAGTTGGCTAAAAGAAGAGACGTTGGAGGCTGGTCCTTCGGCGATATTTTGGGTTGTTCGGAAGGAAAGAAATAAACAGTTTTTGAAGGGGTAGCAGAAGGGATAAAGAATGCAAGGAAGATGGTTTCAAACCCTTATTATATTGGTAGAAGGTAAAGAATTAAACCATGTGGAAGAATTAGGAGAATTAATTGATATTCTTACAGTTTCACAAATAATGTTGTACATGGTTTGGCATCCCCTTAGTGTCTATATTTAATGATACCTTAATACTTGAAATTCCAAAAAATATATATATGAATGAACTAAGGAAAACTAAATCTAATAAGAGTAGGAAAACTAAATATTTAAAAAGAACAAAGTATTTATATTTAAAAGAATTATAGTTTTAATTTATTTAGGCTAAACCTAATTCATTCTGCATTAACTAAGATAGACTATATGGTAATAGTTCATTGTAGTACCCATATTTCTTGCTCGTCTTCCCCATCTCCCCTAATGGATGCCAACCATTTGACTTATGATTAAAAAAACAAATACAGATAGAGAGAGAGAGAGAGAGAGAGAGAGAGAGAGAGAAGCAACCTCATTGATAATAAGAGCCTTCCCATTTCTAACAATGTATTGAACATCACATCGATAAAATTCTTTAGCTTTCAAAGCATTCATCACAAACCTGCAACATATTATTACTAACTACTAAGTTAAAAATTGAAATAGAACATGTAGCAACACATTATTGCTAACTACTATTTTCCTAACCTATAGTAGAAAGCTAGTTGACATACACATTTGATCCACTACTGCTAATCACTCAAGAATTATTATATATAAAATAAAAGTAGAAACACTTGATTTAGATTACTTGGAAAAGCTCATCAGCCAAGAATATAACAAGAATAGTTTTCTTATAGAAAAGAATTATTATTCACAAGCTAACGAGGAAATACTGCCCATATACAGATAAAATTAAAATGTATGTGTGTGTATGTTATAGAAAACGAAGATTTATTGAAAAAGGATGAAGAAACAATGTGAGAGGACAAGGTATTCTCCCAAAATAGACAACAAAAGAATCAAATAAAGAGAGGGAAGAAGAAAAACAATAGAAGCAGTTTAGTCCCTTTGTTAGAGGGACGATACATTGACACTTTGTTAACATTCATGTGCCCTGACCCCCAAAGAAGCTAAGAACAGGAGTTTACATAATTTGAAATTTTCCAAAATGGCTTTTCTTTTCAAAGATGCATAGCAGAGTTTTGAAAATTTCAAACTACTTAAGTACAGTGGGTAAATTGATGAACTTCCCACTTCCATGGTAAATGAAACGGTTAAAACCAAAGAACAAGGGAACCAACAAGAAGACAGATACTTGCCTTGCCCAAGGATCATTTTCATCCCATAAATCATTTGTTTCAAGAGCCATCTCTGCAAGTGTTATGCCTTCCTCAGTCAATTCCACTGAATTGTCTTTAAGTTCCACGTTGTAATGCTGTCACCACCGATTAGAAAATTTTGCAAAATCAAAGTCAGGTGAAAAGCAAGAAATTTATCTAGACAAAATGAACCCAAGATTCAAGACCTACCACACCCCGTATGAGAAGCTCAGCTACTTTGGCAGCAACTGGATATCTTGCAGCATCTTTACTGGCCTGGAATGAAAAATAGAGGAGTAATATCCATCCCCAAGATACTACAACTTCAGACTTTGCTCAGTGACACCAAATTCTTTCTAAAGCAATTCTTGATATCATTATTGCTTTGAGTTTTGCAAACCTCTATCTTTAAAACAATGGGATAAGAAAAAGAATGTCAAGGAGAAAATGAACTATGAAAGCTTGAATTACCTCACCACTTATCAACAAAGGATTTCGCCCTTCATCAATGAGAACTGAGTCAACTTCATCAACTATAGCAAAATGAAATGGCTTTGGCCTGGTTTTGCAAAAGTCGTAGCTAGTAATCCAGAAAAACAATAAAGTATATTAAGTACAGTTCTGAAAAATATACCATCTCATAACCAGTTGGTCACCATTTGAAGCAAGATTATCTCGTAGATAATCAAAACCAAGTTCCTAGTACATCGAGAACAGTATTAGAAAAGGAAGAAAAAAAATATGCAGAGAAAAGCAGAAATCATAAGTCACCAGCCCCTAGACAACATCAAGGAGGCAGTCAAAAAAAATCACTAACTATCCCTCAAACATACCCCCATTAGACCCAGCCATTGTCAGGAACAAAGGATCTAGGAAGAACTTACCGAGTTATTGGTGTATGTTATATCACATCTGTAGTTGGATCTCCTCTCTTCAGCAGTCATCCCTCTCTATGTAAGACAGTAGATTAAAAGCCATTAACATCAAGTGCCATGCATGTTGACAAGATCCAAAATTACCTAGTAGCTCTAGTTTATCTCATTTATGTTTTCACATGATACCTGAATAAGACCAACCGAAAGACCTAAGAAGCGATGAACACGACCCATCCACTCAGCATCACGATGAGCCAAGTAATCATTAACAGTCACCACTGTTGGGAAAGATAGAAATATAAACAGCTTTAACCAGAAAAGAAATAATGGACCAAATGCTCAGCTATAGCACTATGAAAATATATTAGGTAGGATCAGCCATCAAGAACTGAGAAAAAATTATACTTGCACCATAAGGGGTACCAAAGCACTACTCATGTCAGTAAAAGCTTACAGCTCTTCAACAGCAGCTTATTTCTACCTTCACCAAATTTCTTGCAAACATCTTAAACAGGTTTTATTTCCGTGGATATTGTTTGAGAAATAATAGATAATAAAATTATTTTTTTGGTTTCCATTTCTTGAAATAAGGAGGCAACAAGTATCCAAAGTCTCCTCTCCTAATGCAACATCTCAAAAATCGCATATAACTACAACAAGGGATTTAAACTTCAATTTTTTTAATAAAATAAATTTATTAAAAATCACAAACTTCAGCGGAGGATAGGTAGCCTCTAGGTTAAAAAATCAAAAGAAACAAAGGACATACATCAAGACAAAGCAGCATCTCGATCTCTTAGAAATGTGGATAAAAATATTATCTGAATACGTCATGAACTTAACCTAAAAAGAAGCAAAGAAGACACTCTATAGCAAAAAAACAAGGATTGAGTGAGACCATTGCTAAAGTTCTAGCGTCTTGCACCAACCAAAAGCTCAGTAATTCATTTGTTAATGTGTACATTAATTTTAAACCCTTCAAAAAACAAAGACTGAAACTAAATTGAAGTAAGAGTTTTCTGGGTTAATTCTAGAATTGAAGAAAGATTTTTTTTCATGGGTTATTAATAAATTAATGCAAGTCTTACCGAAATGATGGAAAAAGTATAATATCTATTACATACATACCTGTCAAGGTGATAGACATACTTGAATCCTTAAGCCTGATATTCACAGATGGATGAAATGAGTTTCATTGTGCTGACACATGCACTGTTCTTAAGTTTTGTTTCTTTTCATTTTTTTATTGAAGTGGCATAAGAGAATGACTTAGGTGTAATATTTTTAAA